TGGCTCCTCGTGGTCGTCGCTATGACAACAGCTGCCCCCGCCGTGGCTGTGCCCGTGAGCCATGGCCAAGCGCGAGAAGACCGCCCCCCACCTGGAGCCGCCGACAGAACCCGCACGGACGTCAACAAAGGTGCGCGCAGACGCAAGTAGCGTTCTTCCGGACATCCCCATCACGTGGTGGAGGGCGGCGCCTTCTGGTTGCCCCGGCAACCGAGCAGCTGATTTTTTTTGCCGTAGTACAGGCCTGTGTTTTTTTAAACCGTGGTCCTCGGATGGGAGTGGCTGGGGGAGGCGGGCAACATGGCCATCTTAAGACTGTGGACTTCAACTCCCAAATTTATGCTGGAACATACGCACACACAGCCATTTATATATATATATATATGATTCTCTAGAGTCAGGAACCACTAGCACATATGTGTGAGGGGCACCTTTACCTTTTTAGTAGATTGATATAGATGGAAGATGATGATATTGGAGTTACAGTTGTGAAATACAATTATTTTCTTTTAAAGGAAATAAATATTAATATTTGTCCTAGCCATCTGAAAAAATTTAAATTTAAAGTGAACTCCCCCCAAAAGGTTGGATTTTACCATGGTCCCTCAACACAGTGCCTTCCAGATATATTAGGATTATAAAATTCAGAACTTTCAGCCAGTTAGAGAAGGCTGGATTTTCCACATATGTATTGCCATGATTGAAAGACTGTCTTCTTCAAGATAAATAATTCTCTCCAGACAGATTTTTTGTACAATTAATGGAAGATAAACAAAAAACTTATCCTACAAATAAGTTGCTGGAAGGGAGAATTGTATAATCTTCTTTGAACAAATACCCAATCTAAAACGTAGGACAATATCTAGAACAATAAAACCACCTCCAATACTTTTTCTGAATACAAGACAAAGAATAAAAACATACGAATAGGAACCAAAATACACAGGAAAGAACATTGTATGAAGTTAATTCTGGGTATCTGAGTTTTAGCCATCCCAATTTTTCAGCTGAAAGATCCAGAACTAACTCTGATTATGAATTATTGTATGAACTTGACTATTTAAAGAGATTTCTACAATACACAGTATATACAGTACTTCAAAACCAAAATTTTTGCCTCCCCAATTCAATACTTCATAATTGCATCTATATTGCATGCCCAGCCTTTCCTTTCCAAAAATGGCCACGAAGGTCTCTGGCCTGGGTCCAAGTGAAATTTTGTCTTTGTTGCTCTTAAGTCTTCCCAGGGAAGTCTGTTAAGTTCTCACATACCTCTGTTTTTAGCTAAAACTCCCAATTACTCCATTCCTCATTTTTTTGGCATAGCAACACAGCCTGGGGGACAGTCTAGGAATTGTTACTTTTATTTTTGGGATCCAAAAAGTGAGAGAGGAGAAGAGAGAAAAAATTAACAAAGGCAAATTCCAGTGTTTGGCTTTTATTGATACACAATTCATTTCTTATAAGTTATCTAATTAAAATATTTATCTCGAGAGTTACCACCAAAAAAGTAAAATAGAAAATTATTTACAAGAGGGGAATCAACAGACAAATGTATTACCTTTTATTTGTAGTATACACAGGGATGGGGGAGCAGCAGCAGGGGGCCACATTTTCCTATGGCTCTTTTGTGTGTAGTGTGCAACCGGAAAATCGCACCTACTTTAAAATATGTGGGATCCCCAACGAGAATCAGAGGCCAAGTTGTCATAATCCAGCAACTGAGTCTTTTGTGTATTCCCACCCATCAAAAAGTTTCCAAAATGAAGTTAAAAGCCAATTGTTGTAACATTTGCCTAAATTTAAAACAACATTAAATAAAATAAAAACACCTTCCACATTAGAGAGTGACAGATGAACTGGAGGTTCCTACAATCCTTTCCATGGAAATGATTTCTAAACCGACTTAAGGTGTTGTCACTTCAATTCCTAGAATCCCCCGTAGAGAGCACTGGCAAAGAATGTGGGAATTGACTAAAACATCTGGAATAGGCCTGCTTGGATAGGTTTGCAGTAATTCTAACTCTGAGGTTAATCAGATGAAGTATTCAATTAATCCTCAGTATTATAGTGGAATTTAGCCAATGGTTTCACATGTTAACAGTAACTACTGTGCAGTGGTTAATCTACAAGTGTTCTTCTAGGCCATTAAGGCCCCAAAAACTGCATTTAAAGGGGATTGCTCATCATTGATGAGCCCATAATTCCTGTAGTTGACACAAGCTCTTGACTACTGCTATCAGTCCGTCTGGTGACAGGTTTGTGCTATGAAAAGGTGTCACGGTGGCATTAGCAAACCTTCCCTGCAATCCACCTCCTCAAGATAGATTGGCTAGGAAACCCCATAACTTGTAGTCAGCAAGGGTTAATGGGCATTCAACTCCTGTACAACTGGTACCATCTCAGGTTGGGAATGGTGTCCCACAGTAAGCCCATTGCAAAACAAAAATGTGATAGTGCCAAGAAAGGGGCTCCAGCCATCCAGTTGATTATTTCAAGTTCTCCAGATATTTCCTTGAATGGGAAAAAAGTGGTTGGCAAAAACCATCCATCAATTTTGATAGCTAACGGTTGGACCAACAAAGTCTTGTAAATGTCCTTTTGCCTTCTGTGGTTGAGATGTTTCCTGGGCTCTCCTCTTACCACCGAATCCAACAACAAAGAGGAGAAAATACACCACGCACAACAACCAGCAGAAGATTATATCAGTAAGTCAAATACCGCAAAATTAGGTACACTAGAGCAAAAGGAACATTTC